CAATAATTTGGTTTTAGCATTTTCCTTGGTCATGGGCTTTCCCTCTTAGCCCCTTTGTCCTGTTTGCCTCTCCTCCAGTTCTCTGCCAGTCCTAAACCACTTTCCCTTGTATTTCAGGGGTTTTCCTGAAGATATGGGACATATCCTGAAGATACGAGGACCTCGATGCCTCCAGTGAGTACGGTAAGATGAAAAATAACATTATTTGTTGTTCAATATCTGTGGTGACGCAGATTTTAAAAAATACTCACCCAACAATTTTGAGATACCCTCTACAGATCCTTTTTTCTGTCTTAGAATTTGGTCTCACCTTTCTTTCCATGTGCTTGATGATACGAGTGTTGGGGATCTAATTAGCTCATGCCCAGAAGAAGCTCTATGTCTGCATTTAGGGACCCAGCATGGGGCAAGAGGCCATGGCATAGGATGCTTATAAATGCAGTAGGTTTAGACCCAGATCACTGCTTGGCCCCTCCTAATCCATTCCTGTGGCTTGTGCATTTTGCTGTTGGTGGACTTTGCTTTTTTATTATGATTGTAAGTCTGCCTGAGGATGCTGGGATCTGTGTTTAAGGCCTGTTATTTGTGGTGATACTTGGAGTAGATATTCTGTGGTCCCTTCTGAACTATATCTATTATGTGATTGAGTCCAATCTTCTCCTGTCACAAGACGCGACTCGGGAACAGCTATTCTTCCACCATCATGGAGAGATGTGTAGCCCTGATCAAAGGAAGCATGTACTTATAAAGGCTAAAGGGAACGCAGCAAAGTATAAATTGCTTTTATTCATCAGAGTTATGCCTTCTGATGTTCTGAATGTCTGAGAGGACATAGACATCTACTTGGAGCCTGGACAAAAGCAGCCCTTTCTTGTAAAGTCAAGGGCCCTACTAGGACACCGTGTACCTAGAATTTCACTTTGTAACTCCCCTTATATGCTCAGCATTTGCTGTGCCATCCTTGTTGCTCTGTAATGACTCTGAGACATATCTGGAATTAGCAATGTTCATGTCTTCTTAACACTTCTGTGCCAGTTATCTCCTACCTGGCATTTTCCTATTTCTCAAATGTGTTTTTAGTACGTTTTTACTGATCAGAAATCAAATGACATTCTGAGATTGGCACTGAAAAAAATCCCTTTTCAGAATTTGCACTGTTAGAGGCCTGTTCTGATGAACTGAACTAAGTGCCTGTTTATTCTATATATGCTACATACAGATGCAGTATTAACTGGGATGGGAGGCAGGCTAAAGGAATCCCTGTCCAGTGGTCATTACTGCTTCTGAACTCGTGTGAACTCATGCTTTTTCCTCACCTGCCCACTTTTGGGGGAGCTTTGGCCAGCCAGCCTCAGTAATTTTGGAGTGTCTGACTCACAATAAAGCTTACATACAATAAAGCATGCGGGTGAATGGACAGCCTGATCAGAATAGTGTGAAAAGCAGTGTGGACATGGTCAGTATAGTTCAGAGCGTAGATGCAAGGGCCACATTATCACAGGTACAAAACAACACAGTAATTCCTCAGTTCGATCATCCTGACAACTGCTGTGTGTAGATGAAGATCTTTTTTCCTGAATGGAATCCAGTTTGTAACAGATAAAGATCCTGAAAAAGCAATGTCAGAGAAGTGCAGGTTAGAATTAGATGGGTACAGGCAGCACTTTCAGTTGGAAAACTGATGATGTTGAGGTTCCATTTTTAATTTTTAACCCAGAACACGCAGAACTGTAAACAGAACTATTCCTTTAGAGTCAGTGGGAACTGTGAGATTCACGTACATGGTAAGTTTATGAGGAAATAGTATTTTTCATCTATTTTGGGTACACTCTTCAGAAGTAGTTATAGCTCTTGCACAGTCTTTTGAATTCCTACTCTCACCTCACGGGAGCACCTGAGCAATACATACATACAAACATTTTCTTACTTGAAACACTGATTAGGACAGGAAGCTATAAATCGTGTTGCGCATTGAGACTCAAGGTACCTCAGAGCGGCCTGCTGGAAACCTGCCCCTGCTGCTCTCGTCGGGGGTGGGGGGACCAGCGATGGGTACCACCGCCCCTCCTGCCGCCCCCCAGCAGGAACGGGTATGCATTCACTTCAGCATGCGCACATAATGTGCAAGCATGGATGCTTTCCTCCACGGCTGTTTGTCACTGGGAAGATGCTGACCCTCGCACCCGCGTTCAGACCCCTCCCGGTGCCCGCCCGGTTTTTTGGAGCGCGCTGCCCGGCTCCCCCGCCTGCCCGGCGTTCCTGTGCCCGGCAGCGGGCTCGGGAGCGCCCCGCCGGTACCCCCAACTCCCGCACACGCCCGAAGCCCTCCCACCGCTCAGACTCCGCGGCGGGTACGGTCGGACGCGGGGAGGGGAAACGGTGCCAAGACCCCCGGGAAAGCGCTCCACCGGGCACCACCGCGCGGGGAGCCGGCGGGGGCCCCCCGCTAAAGCGAGCCCTGCCCGGCGGAGGGCAGCAGCGGCGGCGGCG